AGTGCATGGCAGAAAACAGTAAGAAGTAGGAGGCAGTGACTAACATCATCAGTTGGCAATCACTGGCATCATTTCCTCTTGGTATATAATCCCTCTTTGCAAATGGTTAAATTTTTTGTCACAGTGACTCCATAGTGCAGCTTTCCTCAAGACTAAGAAATCGTTTTCCGTTCCACCTTGTATTCAATGCATGCAACGCTGTTTATTTTCTGCTGCAGTTCGTGTTCCACCAAGAACTCTATTGTTCTTCTTGTCCACTGTGGCAAAATTACACAACTTGCACAATTACTTAAGGTATATTGCCATTAAGCTATTCTTCCCCTTTCATTTCAGTGCAAAGGAAATACAGTGCAAATTGGAGGGGGGCATAATCAATGACATATCATTTGTGGACTGAAAGCAATAATAGGAAATACTGACTGTATTAGCTGGATTCATTTCCATTCCTAATATGGGACGAATAAGCAAACATCCACAATTTCTGCTCCCATTTCTGTTTTTTGCTGGAATTCTGTGACATTCCTAATTATAAACCTTGACTACAGAAGTATTGTGGCTCAGTCTCCCCCATTTTATTTGCTGATTCAGAGGCTCTAAGTAGAAAATACTTTTTATTTTTCCCCTCCTCTGCTTTTCAAAATATTTTCACTTTTCTTCTTCTAAAATTCTATGTGCTTTGCCTGTCCTAGAATTGCCAGTTTCTTTCATCCATCCTCTCTGCTCACATTACACCCACTTTTCCTTCCTATGGCAGCTTCACTCTCTTCTTCTCTATTTATGCTTTTTTTTTTAACTACTCATGGAGCTGCTATTGTTCAACCTAAATGCTTCTGCATGGCCAGTGGGTGGACTGTAGTGATGAGGCCCACGTGAAGGTGGACTGGAAGTGAGGCCCACCCCAAACTTTGAGAAACAGTGCTCTAAACATTTTGGAAAAGTGATACATCATCTCTATCACACCACCATTATTTGCTGATCCTGATTCAAAATATATATTCAGAATGAAAATTGCTGATTGGTTCCCTAGTAAGTTAACATTCTTAAGGTGCAATCCTAAACATGCTAAGTCCCACTGAAAATAGGATATTTATGACTACATAAACATATATATAAATGCAGTGCTTATTTCCAGTTTTGGGACTCCCTGCCACAGGAACCCCACCCCCAATCCTTCCACTTCCTTAAAGGCACTTTCTCCTGAAGTGAGTCATTAGATGTGTACGGATTTGGGTCAGGATTCAAGACAGCAAGGGCATGGGTTTAGTTGCTTCAAGATATGCATGGAATAAATGTCCACATCTTGGTGTGGAGGGATGGAAGAAGGTAAACTGCTACTTCTTATTGTCTAATATGTGTTATGAATGAGATTTGCACCCATTGCCCGTGCAACATTCTCTATGCACAACCTCACAGAACGGCTGTTCTGTGAGCCATTCTGCACAGATTACAAAATTATGCATACGATAATGCAAATATTGTTAAACAAGCACACACCCACACCCACAGCTGTACAAACTGCTATTCTCCCTTCCTGCCTGACAATATGTTGCCATGCTATAAAAGCCCTAATGCCCATTTTCAACGATTAGCTGTACATCAGCATTACCACCGCAAATCCACAAGTTTCACATCAAGCATTAAATGGGATGAATATTGATCTGCTAAAGAGGATTTATTTATTTCTAGCTCTATCCAAAGATCAACTGCTAGCAGCTTTTGGTGGATCTGTTGAGCTCTCACGGCACAAAGCTACTGCATACATGACACTGGACTTGACATTTCAGTTCTGGAAGAAAACCAAACAGTAAATTCAGTGCAATAATCCTAGATAAATGAGATGATCACTGGGAAAGCTGAGATAGTTAAGTGGTCTATCAGAGAAGTCCAAAGGAAGGTATTGAACAGTTGCTACACAGTAACCTTTCTCATGTCAATATGGCTGAAGACCATCATATACATCAGATGTTAATACAATCACATAATCTCATCACCAAAGCTGGCGTCTTCTGCTTATCTTTAAGCATGGCATAATTGTTCTAAGAACATAATAAACATGTGCCGGAAAACATATGCTTTATTACCCATTTGTATACCATGCAAGGGATTGTAAGACCATTCCTTCTCAAGTGATGCCTCATATATACAATATTCAAATCACGCCCCTGCCCCAAGACCTGAGACATCTGTTTCATTCTACAAACGGGACTTTAGAATTTATACAAGTTAATACACTTTAAGAGGTTAATTTGCCATTAAGATTTTGTTCTTCCATTTGGGTTGATACGAGATGCTACACGTCAGCACTGGAAACAATTTCCTACTGCATTGCATCGCGCAATTGCCACCAATTGCTGCCTCTCCGCCCCTCCCCACACCCTATGCTATTTAAAATGCCCATATTAATGATAAGACTGCTCTGACTGTCTTTCACACAACAGAATGAGATATTAGAACCCGAACGAGGAAGCGAGCTGTCCCAGAGGCTAATAATGTTGTCCTGTTCCACTGCTAAATTATTCATATTTATTTTATTGCGCACTCTTATTAATCTTTGCTAATTCTCTGATTAATTATGAGACAATGTCAATGAGAGAATATGAAAAAAGAAACAAAGAAAATGAAGCATGTAAATGAATATTTTGCATGCTTTTCATTTGAGCTCTTTATCGCAAAGCAGACTCTTCTCTCCACCTTTTTGTAAACACACACACACGAACCTACAACAATCTATCCTTCCAATTTTGAGGATGGTTCTGAACCTTGAAAAACGATTCCTTGTTTTGACTACCTGAATGTCCTTGCTACAGGTAGCACTTAGTTTAATTAGGTTATATCCGTAGGCTGGAGTATCTAGTTTGCCAAGGAAACGTACTGCTTTTGTTAAGTTCTGTAGTGTCAATGGAAAAAGACTGGTGTAAACATCTGACTACAATAGAACTCCTTTTTATAAAGGCAACTAGCTATTTCCCCCCTGCCTGGATGCAATTTCATGCCATGAGCTGTACATTAATGATGATCAGATGCAATCTTGGTCATATTCAGATGCTCTTAGGATTTTACATTATACAGGGTAGCAGGAGCTTCAATTTACTCATTTGTGGATGCAGACACACAGCCTCAACAACTTGGCTACAGCTAGCCACCAAAATGCAGCTTAATCCATGATGTCATTTATAAAACATAAAGAAGAGGCCAACGTTATATTGCCAATGGTGGCCAAGCCAGTGCTCCTGGGGATCCCACAACAAGGGTGTGAGGGCAAAGCATATGTACTCGGACCAACTAAACCATTTCAAACTTATTAGCCCAGTTGGGTGGTCCATTAGCAAGATAACCATTACGTACCCACAATTTCAACTAATTTCAATGGGACTTATATGTATGTAATTTTCTGCTGGATCTCAGCTATAGAAATAATGGCTGCAGAATTCCACCAAGAACCAGATTCTCTCTCAGTCTTTGTGTAACTTGTTCCCAAGCAGATGTATGGGGAATCACATCCAACTGCAATAACAGTTTAGTGCAAGGCACTCCACCACCTTTCTATTTTCCACAAGCCAAATGCCCTTACAAATAAACTGTAAATTCACTGCAAATGAATAGGTAATATATCAACAAAAATGGGTTGCATCTAGGAAAACATCCTTGGCAAACAAAGCTAGTGTCACAGAGCAGTCAAGACACAGTATAAATGGTAAACCAGCATATTCACTGTGCATTTTTAATTCAGCCAAAGCCTTGCTGATAACTTACTTTAGGCAAACTACTATCTCTGATTTCTAATTTGGGAATAATAATGCTGGCATATATTACAGAGTTGCTGGAAAGATTGCTGAGGTGTGTACAGGATGTACCTAGAGCAATAAAATAAAATAAATGCTTCATCCTGTGAGGAAGACAGAGTCTTGCTTTTTGCATATGAGAGCTGTATTTTCAGTGAATAGGTAGGGAATAGAGTACAGATATTAGTTTCACTTACAAATAGTGTGCATGATCCAGTTACCATTATGGGCTTTGAATGACGAGTGAAAAGCACAATTAATTTGGGCTGGATTATGCCTGTTGTGATTAGCCTTATGCAAAACCTGGAAATGATGTTGCAAATGCTAGTTTAGCTGCACGCAAACAAGCCCTTGCAAAGCTGAGTTATGTTTCCCATGAAAGCAAATAGGTAATATTTAGCATGCTCCTTTTAAGGCACAATGCTTTCACTTAACAATAACTCCTTTCTTCAGAAACACTTCAGAACAGATGCCACTCAGAAACAGATTGTGCGGCTTGTGGCTTGAATAACGTAGCAACAATTCAGATGTTAAGAGACTCTGCCTTTGACCTTCCACCAGTCCTTTGTACACCCCATAACCACTTTTACCTGCACAAAATACAGGTCTCGTTTTGTCTTTTCATTAGTTTCAGAACAGATCAAGGCTATTTGTGCAAAGCCACCCTCCCTTACCTGGAGCTGACGCTTCCCCCCACCCCACCAGAATTGTTTGCTCTTAAAATCAATGCGAGGAATGAGATGGGGATAGCAAAGAAGAAGAATTTGGTAGCTTGCTTGCTTCTGCATAAAAGACAGCAATTTCTATGTGGAACAAGAACACCAACTCCTGCCCATTAGGCATTGCTGGCATAAAAATAAAAATAGTGATAGCTATTCCCAGAACACAACAAACAGATACTGTGAGCAAAGGCCAATTATTGCAGCCTTTGCTTCAACCAAATCATTACATCAATTAGCAGGACAGGCTTGGATGCCCAAGTAAGGGCAGCGTGACTTGACTGCGTATTGCATTTCTTTGTCAGCCTTGTGTGCAATAGGATTTCTTAGAAAGCCAACTAGGACTCATTTCCAATTTGTTGCCTGTATACATAGACAAAAATAGGAGCATAGGAAGCAGTCTTATAGCGACAGGCCAGTGGTGCATTTAGCTCAGTATTGTATTCACTGATTGGCAGTGGCTCTTCAGGATTTTAGGTGGGGAATCTCCTTGTCGTACCTGGAGAGGCTGGGGATTGAATCTGGGATGTTCTGCATGCAAAACAGATGCTCTACCACTGAACTACAGTCCACAGTATTTAGTGTTTGAATTTATTATTCAGATAGTACCGTCAATATACATGACAGGTTATGTTAGACAACATCCCTACCTCCCCCAAATGCAGGGCCCTGCCACTGAGGAACTTAAATTCTGTTGTTGTTGTTGTTGTTGTTGTTGTTGTTGTTGTTACTACACACCCGTCACTAGCAGGTCCTGGGGAGGGGAAGGAAGGGAATAAAGTCACCCCCCCTTTCTGAGTGCTCCTTTTTTTCTTCCAAGGCTTTTAACTCATTTTGATGTATAAATGGCAGCCTTGTCTCCAACTTAGTGAATCCACGGAATCTGAAATCTCTTACTAAACAGCCATCTGTCTCAGTCTGACCCTTTTGTTAAAAAGAGCCCTGGTACAAGCCACTGCAAGCCGCACAAAACCCACATGATGACCAGACCCCCTTTCCCCCAAGTCAGAAAGGCTCCCGGTACCCAAACCTCACCAAAGTCCCGGCAACACAAAAGTGATGCAATAAACCTCTCTAACAGTAGCTGATTTGTATGCAACAGTGGCAGCAAGGGTAACTCTTCGGCAAACCTGAATCTCATATATAATGCATAGCAGTTAATAAATCATAGACAAATCAGGTGGCTTAGGGCCAACAATACCCAAATAGTAATGGAGAGAGGGGAAAGATTTATAGAGAGGCAGACTCTGTCTGGATTTTGCTTTAAAGAGGCTTGCAACAGTGGACTGGAAGACCTTACTGTGGTTTTGCTCTGGACATCTGTGTCCTGCTGACTCATTCCATCCCTTTCCACTTTTATACTCTCTCACTTACCTCCACAATGTGTGGCCTCTTTTCCATCAGAAATCATCTCCAGTGACCTTCCTGTGCTCTTGTCTTGCAAATGCAGAAGAAAAGCCAGTGAGAGGGTTGGGAGATTTTCTCCAGGAATGTCTCACAGCCACATCTGTAACTAGGAAGCCAAATCTCTAGATTGTTGCACAGTATATACACAATAAGGAATCAGCAACTTATCTCAACGTTGTGTGTGTGTGTGTGTGTGTGTGAGAGAGAGAGAGAGAGAGAGAGAGTTTGTGTTTCTCTCCATGTCCAAATTAGTTTAAGCATCCTTCCTTTCACTGACTCAAAATCTTTGCTGACCAGCTGAAAAATTATTTTACCTCTATGCTCACAGAGGAACAGATTTCAGTTTTATTTTGTGCACTAAGACCCAAATCCTCCTTGTGGTTCTCATAAAGAGAACTGCCTAAAAAGGATATTAGGATTTATTTATTTTTTAATGTGGATCTAAAAGGAGAACATTGAACTGAAACTATGCACACTTGGGAGAGTGTTTCTGGCATAAATGTGACTCAGAAAATGTGTCAGGTTATAATTAAGAGGAACTAATACTTTTCTGTAAGCATGTCCTCTGAATGTTTTCAGTGCTGAATAATGTTTGTTTAGGCTAAACAAATTAGTTTTGATATACACACAAATTGAGCTACAAAACTGAAAGAATTTATTGTTGGCAATAAGTAGGCAATATCAATTTCATTCAAATTATGCAATAAAATACTATTCATTGTTTCATATCATCTTTGTGATCAGAGCTTTCAGAAATGACCATAGTTTTGACCAACACTGTAATAGTCCTGCAAAAACTCCAGATTTTTTTTTTTAAATAAAAAACCCTACAGGATTTTGGTAAGGATTATTGCACATAACAATGCATATGAAGAGTCAGGAAAGCACCAAAAGACTTTATAAAAGTTAAGGGTATAATCCAATATATGCTTACAAGGGAGTAAATGTTAGTGAGACATACCATGAAGCAAATATACATTAGATTTGGCTGCAAATATGATTGCAATTGTTGTTTTTGCCATTATTAATAATAGCAATATTCCAATAATCCAAAAAGCCAGCCCTTCTCTTTTTTATTTCTTATAAATACAAAGAGTGATATCTAATGTTAGTTATACTCAGAGTATATCCATTGAGATCAATGAACTTAGGTTCACTGATTTTAATGGCTCTACAGTGAATCGGACTTAGTTGGGTATCACTCAAAAGCATTAGTGTGAGGACATTGCATACATACATACATACATACATACATTCATACCCAATTCAGCCAAAATAAGCCCCCTTTAGTTACTCATATTTCAACAAATGCTTAACTTTTCTGCTGAAATCAGTGGCACTTTATTGGCGGAAATGATTAATTTTACCTGGATCATTCTTAAGACTTTTAAAAATACATCATTGCTACAAATGAAATGTGACAGCAATCTAAATGACGATGACAACAACAAAGGTATCACTTCTGCTAATTGTTAAGATTGTTCCAAACACTTCAATGTTCTTTCTATTGCGCTTTAAAAGGAAATGTGCCATGGTTCTAAATGCTTATACGCTGATACCGGCGGTTGAAATAAAATTTGCTTCCAAGTAGGAATGCTTAGGAATGGGATGGCTGTGGGGTGTTGAAGGGGAACAAGGCTGTATTCCTGATGCACAGCCCAATTAAGCCAAAGTACTTAGACTTAAGGCCGTTCGGCTCAGCTTAATCCGAGCACTTTGTTTTAACTGGGAAGTGGATCGGGGAGTAAATATGATTAGTTTAAAAGGGGTTCCTGCAGATTAAAAACAAGCCATTTATGTAATAGAAGAAGTCCAAGGAGTAAATATTTTGAGGCGACATTCCTTTGTCTTTTTCAAGCCTGTTTTGCTTTGTGTTGTCTCTGTGAGCAATGAAGATTTGCCGCATACACAAAAGTTTACTTTCAAAGTGTGCGCATGCAAGAAACGAGAACCAGATATATTACAGATATCTTCCTAATGCCCCAGATCTTTAGGTGAATTAATCATCTTAGTTTTCATTTTATTTTTTTTCATTTCAAATGTATGGTGTTATTGCTTCTTTTACAAGTTTTTACTTTTTAAAGAATCTATAATCCTGGGGGGGAAATCACACACAGCCTGAGCAAATTCTTTACAAAATGGTCTTTTCCCTGTTCATATGCGCTCTGAGTGCATACGATTATTCAATGTACAAGCACCTAGTTTATAAATGCCTATCTATAGGGATTGTAAACATAATGCTGGAAAGCACAATCAAACAGTGCAGCACGACATGCATTTAAAATGAACATGTGCATATGTGCGCACAGACAAGCGCATCAGGTCCAAAACTGCCGTGACACATTGTTCTCTCAGTTTATTGAGCTCATGTAAAACAAAGTAACCAGAGTATATTCTCTTAACCTCATACTGTCCTGTTCCTTGAGTACATTTTGTTGGGAAGCAAAGCTGTGTTGGTATCAGGATCACAGAGGGGAACTTGAACACTAGATGGCAGCTCTTGCTTGTTAAATGGCTATTGCCTTCTCTCTATTGTTACCTTCACCTACTTCCATCTACTACTGTATTTGCTGGATCAGAGGAAAGCACCAGCCCTTGCTGAACAAGGCCAGGTAGAAATAGGAGCTGCCCCGATCTTATATCTACCATCCTACAAAAAGAGGATGTCTAAATAATTGTTTTGAATTGGCTTCATTCCTTCTTCTTCTTTTTGTTATAAACTGTTTTTCCTTCCTGTCACTTGAAATATGCCTAAGCGGTAAACACGTCGTGCAAAGCAATATTATATTTATACTTAGCTTGTCTAGATAATTTCACTCATCTTAAAACAAACCAAGTACCTCATTATATAGCATAAAATACTGAAAAGTTTTTTTTGTTTTTGTTTTTAAAATAAATAAATTTAAATGTTGCATTTCTGAGTAATATAATCCTACACAGGATTGTATCACAGACACAAATTAAAGTCAGTTTTTAATTGTACCACATACACAAATTAAAGTTATTTTTTTTAAAGATCTTAAGTAATGAGAAGCAGCTTTTAGGTGCCTGGTGTGGTGATTTTGCTATCAGCATAATAATATAAGGAAACAAAAAAGCGTTGCATTCAGTGGTGTCTTTGCCTTAGCAGAAACCACTTCTGATTTTTGCTGAACCCACCCACCATTCACCCACTTAAGCCTCACTCCCCAGCCCTGAGGGTTGAGGATTACTCTGGAACAGAAAGCAATGTGGTGCAGAGGGCTAGACGATGCAGGAGCTTTCAGTAGAAACTGGGTGTCCAGACTTCCACCCATGGAAGTGCTTTCTGTTAAGGCAAATTCACTGCTGGATACAAGCCTATGAGACTGACCATCCTGCTCTCAAAGCACCAATGCCTGCAGGAGCCCTAGCAAAGCTTAAACAAAGTGCATCGAGGCTCTCCTCTCCCAACTCGTAAACTGGGTTTTTAGTGCTTTAGAATATTTTATTGGCCAACCGAGGTTGTTTCATTGTTTGTGCTGAGATTAACGTAGAAGTAAAATGGGGTTTTAACATTTTATTGTGTTTTCATTAAGATAACTATATAACGCAGTGCTGATGAAATGGTAGTTTATGAATTATGAAATGATATTTAAGCAGTGCTTTAAATCTCATTTATTTGGCATTTGGTTGGAATAGGTCCAGAGGAATTACACTTGTGAACAAGCAAATCAAGTTCTTTAGTGAGCAAAAGGGAAGTTTGCTTAAGCCCACAGTTTGACGGATTCATCTATGGAGCAGCTAGCTTATTTCTCACCACTCGGGAGCTTTCCCCCACACATTAATTTTAACAAGAAATAGCATTATTGTGAAAAAAGCCACCTGTCCTAATATTATCAATATTCTCAGTAGTACGTTAATGATTAAAGAGGAGCAGTGTGGTGTGGTGGCTGGAATAGAGCTGGGAAGATCCAGGTTCAAAACTCAGACAGAAACCTTACTAGATGACTCTCTCATCCTAGCCTACCTCACATTGTATGAATAAAATGGTGGGGAGTGAGGGAGGACTATGTATGCTGCCTTAAACTAATTGGGGGAAAGCAATAATAACAGTAATTATAATGGTAACAAATTACATAGTCACGTCAGAAAACACATACACACATGGAAACAGATGGAAAACACTGTACAGAAATTGAAATGA